CCCCCTCCTCTCCCTCCTCCCCGCCCACTCTCCCCGAGGTCCCCGCGGCGGCAGCTTTGTCTCCTGCGCGGCCACCGGGAGAGCCGAGCAGCCGCGGGGAGCTGTCCAGCGCCCCGGTGCTGAAGCTCGTCCCTCCGGAGCTACGATGTGAGCCATGAGCAGAGGCGCAGCCCGGGCAGCGCGGCCATGGAGGAAGACCTGTTCCAGCTCCGGCAGCTGCCGTGAGTACCCCGGGGTGGAGGGGCGGCGGGGGCGCGAGCGCTGGGCACACAGCCTTCCACCCCCGAAGCCCACGGCCGGCCAAGGAGCGGGTGCAGCTCCGTCCGCCCGCCAGGCTCCTCGCCCCGTCCGCCGAGGGAGGAGACCAGGCCTGGAGCAGACAAGCCATTTTCCCAACCCCGGGGGGCACAGCCGCTTCCTCTGGGTTGACTCCGAGGGATTGTTTTACACCCGATCCTGATAAAGGGGAGTCGTGCCTGGGGGGAGGGGAGTCGTGTGCACCCCCTCCCTCCCTCCCCCCCTTAAAAAGGCTTCCCCATTCTTAAAGAGATTGGAAGATCGGCGCTTTAAGAGAGCCTCCGCTGCCGATTGGAAATGTGGACAGAATTGATGAGGAACGCATGACATCTGTCCTTCCCTTCGAGCCCTGCTCCCAGACTGTGACATTCCTGCTTCCTCCCCCCCCCCATACGCCCCCTTTTTCTGCAAGGTCTTTTGGAAAGGAATGAAAGGGGTTGCAAAGAGGTTTCTTTTTTTAAAAAAATGCTGGGATTCTTTCCTTCTGAGAAGACAGGCTGGGGCACAGTGCTGCTGTTTACGGAGCGTGTGCGCGAGAGAGGCTGAGCTTGGGGGGTGCTGGGGGGTGCAAGGAACCTCTCCCCTTCTTCTGAATGAAAGGCGAGGATCACCCTTGGATGGAGCTGTTCGGGAAGCTACTCCAGGCAACTGGAAGAAAGGACAGGGGCCTTGGAAGGAGGGAAAAGGGGAAGTCTTACAGATCTTTCTTATCACAAGCAGATGGCGACTCTTTTAAGCTAATTCCAAAAGTAAGACAGGGAGCATGCAAAAAAGAATGTTTTGGGGGTTTTTTGGGGGAGGGGACTGTTCTGTTTTAACATTTAGAATCACTAGCCATTTGGATGGCAAAGTAGACTCCATATGTGTCTGATGGATGCTGTTGAACTGGAAGGCTATTTTATTGGTAGCAAGTGTGGATTTTCTTGGCTTAAAAAAAAAAGGTGTGTTTTTCCCTCCTGGCTACTGAGGATTTCTCCCGAGTGACTTCTGGGGTACCTTGGTTGTTTTCTGAAGGCTCTGTTACTGAGGGAGATTACAGAGATGATAACTTCACCATGGGTGTGACATTTGTGTTCATCTGAAAATTTTTTAATTAATTTAAATTTCGCTTTGAAGCTTGTAGTAATTGATCCACAAATGAATACACTGCTGTATTTTACACACGGGAATGGTTCCTGGTTATACAGTCCTGAGATTGGCTCAGGAGTATATAAAAAGGCAAATGTCTGAATGCAAATCTCTCAAGCATAGCACAACCACTTTCTTTTAAATTAACTATGCTAGATTTCATTTCCTAAATAGCAGTAGAGTTTCTAAGAAAATGCAATCTCTTTTTTTGTTTCTTTTTCTGGTATGGAGACTTAAACTCAAGGCCTCATACTCTCACTTAGCTTTTGCATGCAAGGCTGGCTCTCTACCACTTGAGCCAAAGCTCCATGTCTAGCCTTTTGCTGGTTAATTAGAAATAAGTGTCTCTTAGATTTGTCTGCCTGGGCTGGCTTCAAACTGTGATCCTCAGAGCTCAGCCTATTGAATAGCTCAGATTACAGGCATGAGTCACCAGCCCATGTGTTTGATTATTCTTTTTGATGTCATATATATATATATATAATTTATTAGAAAGATCAAATTGTTTACTGCTCTGAATACTGGCTCTGAGTCAGACTTGGGTGCCAATCTTGACTGTTACTTTCAGCTGTGTGATGTAAGCAAGCATGTCAACCTTTCTGAGACTCAGTTTCCCTAGTTAGAATATTGATATCAAAACTGGGCATTTGTGGCTCACACCTGTAATCCTAGCTACTCAGGAGGCTGAGATCTGAGGATCACAGTTCAAAGCCAGCCGTGGCAGGAAAGTCCATGAGACTCTTATCTCCTATAAAACACCAGAAAATCAGAAGTGGCACTGTGGCTCAAGTGGTAGAGTGCTAACCTTGAGCTGAAGAACTGAGGGACAGGGCTCAGGCCCACAGTTCAAACCCTACAACTGACCAAAAAAAAAAATGGTATTGTGAGGTTGGCAGTGCATCTCAGAGGGGAGTATGTGCTTGGCTTACTCAAGGCCCAGGGTCTGATCCCTAGCACCAAAAATAAACAAAATTGCAACATAATAGTACATACTTCTGATGGTTATTTTGAAGACCAAATGAGATAAATCAGCAATACAATGAAGGTTGTGGGTGTAGCTCAGTGGTAAGAGCATTTGCCTAGCATGCACAAGGCCCTGGGTTTGATCCCCAGCACTGCAAAAAGAGACAAATATGCTAGGTACTTGATCAAGCATAAAACATCTACCACAATTAGCTATGTATTGTTGCATCACTATTATTGTGGTTATGACGTCTGAAACATCATTTGTAAAAACAAAAGATGTCGGTTCCTTAGTGCCCGACTCACAAATGGCCATTTGAAAGCCTCCAACTACATTTGAATGGAGTCAAAAGAATCCCTGAAACATATTGCCTTCAATTTATAAAAAGGAGGCATAAGTGAAAAGCCTTGTGAGTCTGAGTGGGTTACAAATCACGACTTAGATATTTTTTAAACCATACCTTGCATATATTATGCACAGATTGCAAGCGACAGACTTCCTGAGAACAATATGATTTAAAAAAATAATTCAGATTGCCTCAGAGAGGGATGGAACAGACTCAGTCCTGTGGGAGGCCAAGTGTGAATAGATCACACTAATCACCCAGCAGTTGATGGGGTGGGGAAGGGGTGAGGTCCTTGGGGAGATACTGCCTTCTTGAACTTGGGGCCTTCGTACAGCTCTGGCGTGTGGTTCTTTTGAGCCCCCAGCCACCCCCTGGTATCTCTGTGTTGTCCTCGAAGCCAGCAGCACGCACTGGAGATCTGGACTGCTAAGCTTTGGCATCATGTCCACCTTTCTGGTGCCTTTACACATGCTAGGCTAGCACTCTTTCTCTGGGCTGGATCCTCAGGCCCCAGATGACTTCTTGTTACTCTAACCATGAATGACTAGAATTGTTTGTGTTCTCATTGACAGACCCACCCATTGGTCTACCCATCCATCCATCCACCTATCTACACACCCATCCATTCACCCATCTATCCATCTACATATCCATCCATCCATCCACTTACCTACTTTTCATTTACCCACTCATCCATCCACCTACCCATCCCCCACTATCCATCCATCCATCCATTCATCCATCCATCCATCCGTCCACCCATCCACCTATACATCTATCAATCCATCCATCCATCTATCCACCCACTTGGATATTATCCATAGCATAAAGGATTCTACAACTAAGACAGAATGGTCTCTTTTTTTTGCCCAGACCTGGGGCTTGAATTCAGGGCGTGGGCACTGTCCCTGAGCCTTTCTGTACTCAAAGCTAGCACTCTACCACTTGAGCCACAGTGCCACTAGCTTTTGTTTTATGTAGTACTGAGGAGTCAAACCCAGGGCTTCATGGCTGCTAGGCAAGCACTCTACCAAACCACATTCCGAGCCCCAACAGAATGGTCTTTGTTTTGAGCTTTCACAATCTAGAGCTGCACTGTCCACTATGGTAAATACTATATGTGGCTATTTAAAATTAAATTTATAGCCAAGAGCCAGTGGCTCACATCTGTAATCCTAGCTACTCAAGAGGCTGAGATCTGGAGAAGGACAGTTTGAAGTTAGCCCCAGCAAAAAGCCAGAAGTAGATGGGTGGCTCAAGTGGTAGAGTGCCAGGCTTGAGCAGTAAAGCCTAGCAAGAGCAGAAAAGCCCCAGTACACACACACACACACACACACACACACAGAGTGTCTGTTTATAGATCAACCACGCCTCCAACAGTATCTCCTCCATGGGTGACAAGGACCATCTTTCCTTTGTCTGTCTGTCCCTATGCTCAGCACCCAGCCAGCCATCGGTCAGCTCTTATTGAAATAACCAAGTGATGGTGCCTGTCTCCTCCTATCTGGTGACTTCCTCACCTCCGGGGAAACCTGAGAGGCAGGAATTACCATCTCCATTTTATACTGGGGAAACAGAGATTGAGAAAGGTGAAATAACTTTCCCAGGGTCACACAGCTACTGAAGAGTGTGGCTCAGGTGGCTCACACCAAAGTCAGATGCTCACCGTAAGTGGACTCTTCCCTCTCTCCCCCTCCCCAACCATGGTGGACCATCTGTCCTCATGCAGGACTCTTCAGTTCAATCCTGTGGAAATCAGCTCCATTTAAGCCTCCTGTTCCCTGTGATAGATTTGTGAACTCAAGGAACAGAATTCCAGAAACTCAGGTGAAAAGACAGAAAACTGGGAAGCCCTGAGAGCCAAACCTGGTAGCACCAGAATTAAACCAATAGATAAGTGAAACCACATTTTGTTCTTTTTAACTTCCTTATCTACATATCTTAATCAAGGATTGGGTATGGTGGCACCTATCTGCAATCAGGTGGTAGAAACTGGGGAGATTGTGGTTTGAGGCCAGCCTGGGCAAGTGAGCGAGACTGCCCACCCCCTCCCCCATCTCAACAAAGGTATACTCATCTAAGCTACAGAGTTTATAGTTTGGAGGATAGAAGTCCAGCCTCAAGCAAAGCAAACAAACCAAAAAAACCCTTTAATCCTAGCCACTTTGAAGGCTGAGATTGAGAGGACTGTGGCTCCAGGTCTGGGCCAGCCAAAGCATCCATACAAGACCTCCTTCTCAACCAGTAGCTGAGTGCTGTGACGCATGCCTCTCATCCTAGCTATGGGGAAAAGGGGATTGGGAGTACTCAGGTTCAAGCCAGCCCAGGCAGAAAAGACTGAGACTCCATTTCTATGGAAGAAGCTGAGCATAACAGCACACACCCGTCATCTCATTGATGGTAGGAAGTGAAAAATAGGAAGATTGAAGTCCAGGCCCAATTCTAGTCAAGAAGCAAGACCGTCATTAAAAAATAATGAAAGGGAGGCTGGGAAGGTGGCTCAGTGGTAGACTGCTTGCCTTGCATGCCTGAGGCCTGGGTTCAATTCCTCAGCACCACATAAGCAAAAAGAAAAAAGCCAGAAGTGGTGCTGTGGCTCAAGTGGTATAGCACTAGCCTTGAGCTGAAGAGCTGAGGGACAGCACCCAGGCCCAGAGTTCAGGCCCCATGACTGGACCCCCCCCCAAAAAAAAGTAATAATGAGAGGCTAGAGTGCTTGCCTAGCATGCATACAGCCCTGGGTTCGATTCCTCAGTACCACATAAACAGAAAAAACGGAAGTGGCACTGTGGCTCAAGTGGTAGAGTGCTAACCTTGAGTGAAAGAAGTTCAGGGACAGTGCTCAGGCCCTGAGTTAAAGCCCCAAGCCTGGTAATAATAATAATAATAGGTCTGGGAAGGTGGCTCAGTGGTAGAGCTCTTGCCTTGCATGCATGAGTCCATGGGTTCGATTCCTTAGCACCACATAAGCAAAAAAGGAAAAACCAGAAGTGGCACTGTGGCTCAAGTGGTAGAGCGCTAGCCTTGAGCTGAAGAGCTGAGGGACAGCATCCAGGCCCAGAGTACAGGCCCCACGACTGGACCAAAAAAAATAATAATAATGAAAGTAGCCAGCCACTGGTGGCTCACGCCTATAATCCTAGCTATTCAGGAGGCTGAGATCTGAGAATTGTGGTTCAAAGCTAGCCTGGGCAGGAAAGTCCATGAGACTCTAATCTCCAGTTAACCACCAGAAAACTGGAAATGGCACTGTGGCTAACGTGGTAGAGCCCTCACTTTAAGCTGAAGAGGTCAGGTACAGCACCCAGGCCCAGAGTTCAAGCCCCATTACAAACAAAAAAATGAGAGCAAAAAAGGGCTGGAGGTGTGGCTCAAGTAGTAGAGTGCCTACATATTAACTATGATGCCCTGAGTTCAAACTCTAGTACCAACCACAACAAAAAAATAAAAACATAACAGACTACCCTAATTAAGTCAAAGGTGCTAAGGTAAGGGGCTGATGGTTCATGTAAGATCTTTATGTTGACATCTATTTCCTTAAGTTATTCTCTACCTTAAATAGCAAAATTATGTAAAGGAAATGTTCCTAACTATTTTGGTAAGGTATAAGCTATATATAAAAAATACATACAACAGATGCCAAGAAATAAGTGTGAGGAGAGCCAGCCTGCTTGCACCCTTATATATTAACATATGGCAGTGTTATTTGCTTTTTATTTCATATTAAACTCCCCTCCACACACACCCCCTTAGCAAATCTTGGCTCATGTCATTGATATTTTTAGGAATCCAATTGATTCAAACATAGTCTGGGGACTGGGAATGTGACTCAGTGGTAGAGTGCTTGCCTAGCATGCATGAAGACCTGGGTTTGATTCCTCAGTAACACATAAAACAGGGAACAAAAATCCTGAAGTGGCGCTGTGGCTCAAGTGGTAAAGCACTAGCTCTGAACAAAAGATCAGAGACAGTGCCCAGGTCCTGAGTTCAGGCCCCACAACCGACAATAATAAAATGATGATGATGATGATGATGGCAGAAGCTGGTGGGAGTGGAATGGTGGCTTGAATGGTAGAGCCCCTACCTAGCAAATGAGAGGCCTGGAGTTCGAGTTCCAGTACTGACCCAAAAAAAACCCCAGGCCCTGCAGGTGCTAAGCTATCTCCTCAAAGTCACATTTAATAAAGAACCAAGATCAAGACAGAGGGTGTCGAAGGGCAGCTCCACACCTGCAGGACACCACCGCCCGCGTTGCACGAACCACAGGCAACCGACTTCCAGAGCCCAGAGGCCAAGAACCCCGAAACAGACACAAGACACCGCTGTCATTCATGCGGATAGCGAAGCCCTCGCCACCAACGCCAAACTCCACTGTTAGACCCAAGACTCAGAGGCAGTTTCTCCTCCATAAGAACTCCGCCTCCACTTAGCCACGCCCACCACGTAGCCACGCCTGCAATTTAGCCACGCCCAGCCACACCCACCAGCACGTGGCTACGCTCAGTGCCTAGCCATGCCTGCAATTTAGCCACGCCCACCTCCCAGCCACACCCACCCAGCACATGGCTACGCCCATCTCCTAGCGACACCCAGCTCAAATAACAACCAGGAGGGGTTGGGGGCTGGGAGTTGGGACTATGGCTTTGCCACAACGTAGTAGAGCCTTTGTGGGATCTTAGGCAAGCTGTGTGGCCATGGGCAAGTTTCCAGCCTGTGTCTTCATGTGAGAAATGAGCATACTAAAAAAAAAAAAAAATGTGACGGTTAAACCCAGCATGTGGCTCACAGGATCCTAGCTTCTTGGGAGGCTAAGATCTGAAGGATCATGGTTCAAGGCCAGCTAAGGCAAAAAAAAAAAAAAATTCAAGACACTGTCAACAGAAAAAAAGCCTGATGTGGTGTGCATCACACCTGCCATCCTACATTGGTGACCATAGCAAATAGGAGGATCAGAGTCTGCACCCGCCTGGGCCAAAACAAAACAAAAACAAAAAACAAACCCAAGATCCTATTCTCCAAATAACCAGAACTGGAGGAATGACTGAAACAGTAGCGCACCTGCCTAGCAAGAGTGAAGCCCTGAGTTCAAAACCCCAGCACTCCTGATAAATAAATCAACAAATAAAAGCCAAGATGCAGTGACCCCGTGCAACAAACTAAAGTCTGAGTGTATCAGTCTACAACCCGTACCAGGCAGCACTTGGACTGGAACCTGGCCTCTATTCAATTACCAGCAAAGCAATAAATTTGGAAAAGACCACACATTACCTGCCAAAAAGAGAGAGAGAGAGAGAGAGGTTTCATTGTTGGCAGAGGAAGTTCACCAGGCCCCAGTCAAGGCTCTCCACCATGCTCTCCTCAGAGTCCGGGACGATCCACCCAGCTTCCCTTCATCGATAAAGTACGTCAGCAGCCTTCTCTCTCCTAGTAATTCTGTGTTCCCAACCTGGAAATTTATGTTTCTGATTTAGGGGTCAGGGAACCCAATTCTTCCCTGTTATCTCACTGGGACCAATTTCACATGGTCCCTAACTGAGCCAATTCTAGACTTAAAACCTCAGCCACCATCCAGGGCTTTTCAGAGGCCCAGGGTCCCTGCAGCCTGTCTTCCGGTGTTAGCACAGTATGTCTTGTTCTCTTTTATTCAACTTATTTTCTGGGGGCAGGAAGTACAATGATTTCAACTCACAAATCCATATCCCATTAAAACAATTTTTTTTTTGCACCAATAGAAAAATTCTAGAGGGCTGGGAAAGTGGCTCAGTGGTAGAGCATCTGCCTTGCATGCATTAGGCCATGAGTTCAATTCCTCAGCACAACATAAGCAAAAAGAAAAAAGCTGGAAGTGGCGCTGTGGCTCAAGTGGTAGAGCGCTAGCCTTGAGCTGAAGAGCTGAGCGACACAGTGCCCAGGCCCAGAGTTCAGGCCCCACGACTGGACCCCCCCCACACACACAAAAAAAAACTTCTAGAATTCAGATGGATTCTTGGAGGACAGGGAACAGAACACAATCTTGGATTAGAGGTTTTCCACTGGGCAGGGTGGCACAGGCCTGTAATCCTAGTATTTGTGAGGTGGAGATCAGGAAGATTGCCATTCGAGACCAGCCTGGGTATAAAAGTTCTTGAGACTGGGAGCTGGTGGCTCACACCTGTAACCCTCGCTACTCAGGAGGCTGAGATCTGAGGATCACAGTTCAAAGCCAGCCTGGGCAGGAAAGTCCATGAGACTCTTATCTCTAATAAACCACCAGAAAACTGGAAATGGCACTAAGGCTCAAGTGGTAGAGCGCTAACCTTGAGCTGAAGAGCTGAAGGACAGTGCCCAGGCCCAGAATTCAAGCCCCACAACTCGCCAAAGGTGCCCAGTTGTTTCTTCCTGGGTGTGCAGATGCAAGAGTGGAGGCCGGGGCCGGGGCCGGGTTTCCCGCAGCGAGGGGCCTCCTGCTGAGTGGTTCCATGCAATGACTGTGGGGCCAGTCCACTCCAGTGGTGACCTCGGTGTCCGTCCACCCTGGCAGCCGCCTCGTCTGCGGCGGCCTGCTCTGGGGTGGTCACAGGGAGTGGCCCCTGGGTGTCATCTCAGACCATGTCCCCACGGTGATGCCAGGCCTGGCGCCAATGCTGAGCTGTGCTCGGGCCCAAAACAAACACCCCTTCAGGTGCACGGCCGTGCACGGGAACTGAGCAACATGCCCCGCCACACGTGGCAGCCCTTGATGCTCGGCCTCGACACCGTCCTACACACACCCCTCACCCACATGCTGTGGAAACGCCAGTATCCCCCAGCCCCAACTCCACCAAATGGCCCCTCACCTGAGCTGGGGGTCTGGACCATCTGGCCATGCTGGCCATGCTGACTGTGTTGAACATGCTGACCGTGTTGACCATGCTGACCATGACTGCCATGCTGACCATGCTGGCCATACTGACCATGCTCACCATGGGGGTCATGCTGACCATGCTGGCTAAGCTGACCATGCTAACTGTGCTCACCATGCTGGCCATGCTGACCAGGCTGGCCATGCTGTCTGTGCTGGCCGTGCTGGCCATGCTGATGGGCTGCGCTGTCCCCCGCAGGGTGGTGAAGTTCCGGCGCACTGGGGAGAGCGCGAGGTCGGAGGAGGACGCGGCCTCGGGGGAGCATGAGGTCCAGATCGAGGGCGTCCGCGCCGGCCTCGAGGCAGTGGAACTGGACGACGGGGCCGCCGTGCCCAAGGAGTTCGCCAACCCCACGGATGGTGAGGGGCCCGCACGCCCAGGCCGCTCCCCGGGGGCCTCCATCAGCTGGCATGAAGGGGTGCGGGGAGGGCACAGAGGGCCCCCCGGGGTGACACTGGAAATGGGGGTGCGGCTTAGTGCAGCAGGCTGGGCTGTGTCACAATCCCTGCCAGGCAGCATCACCACACACTTGGCTATGGACAGAGCCATAATAGTGGTGATGCTGCTGGTGATGGTAGTGATGGTGATGGTGGTGATGGTGATGATGATGGTGATGATGGTGATGGTGGTGATGGTGGTGATGGTGATGATGATGGTGATGATGGTGATGGTGGTGATGGTGGTGATGGTGATGATGGTGGTGATGGTGATGATGGTGATGATGGTGGTGGTGATGACGGTAGTGATCTCCAGACTTCACAAGTTGGTGTGTGCCTCGGCTCCTGCACACAGTCCAGCACCCCGCACTCTCCGGCTGCCGCGTTTTCTTCAGCATGCCCCCTGGCACATGTGTCACGCTGTTTACCTCAGCCCGAGAGGAAGGTGTTTCTTGAAAAACACTCAGAAGTTATAGAAACATCCAGAAGTGGGAAGACAAGCGTTATTCTCAAAGACAAGCCACCTCGCCCATGGCCTGTGGACGTCCACTTGGCCTTTGTCTCCACGCATCAGTCACATACGTGTGCAAGCATGCGCTGGTGCATGCATTTGTGCACGTTGAGATGTGCTCTTGCATACCTTTTTATTTGGGTTGGCCTCGAATCGTGATCCTCCCAATCTTTGTCTCCCAAGTGGCTAGGATTACAGGTGTGAGCCAGCACGCCCACTGGCGCATTCTTTTTAACAGTTGGTTCTTATTTCATTGTGTGTGTGTGTGTGTGTGTGTGTATCACAACTTATTTAAGCACTTGATAGACATTCTGAAAGGCACTTCCAGGATCAGGTCGGGACTAGACGCAGCCCAGACCGTTAGGGAAGCACACAGGTCCCGCTTCCCTGCCCCCTCTCCTTCTCAGATACCTTCATGGTGGAAGACGCGGTGGAAGCAATTGGGTTTGGAAAATTCCAGTGGAAGCTGTCTGTCCTCACCGGCTTGGCTTGGGCAAGTATTTGGGGGAGTGTGTCTCCAGGGCCCCCATCATGTGGCTCAAATGGGTTTCCACGCAAGGTTCAGAAATCTGCCCCCGGCCCCACACACACCACTACCACAAAAGACAATTTATCTTTGGCTTTAAGGAGATCTCCAGCCCTAACTCACATCTCCACATGGTGGGGGCCTGATCTCCGTTTACTGGTATGAGGAGGCATGCGAACTATTTTTCCAAATGGGTCATCATTTCTCCCTATCTATGATTTCTTGCTCCAGTCTGTTGTTTTTGTTTTGTGCCAGTCCTGGGGTTTGAACTCGGCCTGGGCGCTGTCCCTGAGCTTCTCTGTGCTCAAGGCTAGCGCTCTACCACTTGAGCCACAGATCCATTTCCGTTCCTTAGTTTTTCTTCTTCCTGGTGATGAATTGGAGATCAGAGTCTCATGGGACTTTCTTGCCCTGGCTGGCTTTGAACCTCCATTCTCAGATCGCAGCCTCCTGAGTAGCTAGGATTACAGGTGTGAGCCACCGGTGCCCAGCTTCTCCAGTCTGCTTTTAAACTCTAGTTTATATTCTGTCTAGTCCTGAAAAGATACTTAGTTCCTAGGGCTTTCTAGTGTGCTTTAATATGGTTTACTTATTTCTTGTTATTAGTCATTACTGTACAGGAGGGTTATCATTTCATAAATCAGATAATGAATACATTTATTTTTTTTGGATGACCTCACCCCTTCCTTCACTTTTCCCCAGTTTAAAAAAAAAAATCATGCTTGTTAAATATCCAGAGACTTCTACACAGGCAACCCACCATCCCAAAACAAACTAGTGTTTATTTACATCAGAGAAAAGGGAAGAAACTTTTTTTTTTTTGCCAGTCCTGGGGCTTAAACTCAGGGCCTAGGCACTGTCCCTGAGCTGGTTTTGCTCAAGGCTAGCACTCTGCCACTTGAGCCACAACGCCACTTCCAGCTTTTTCTGTGTATGTGGGTACTGAGGAATCGAACCCAGGGCTTCATGCATGCTAGGCAAGCACTCTACCATGGAGCCACCTTCCTAGCCTTGTTATTGTTAAGTATGGGAAAAATAGAGTAAACATTCCCTGTCTCTGTGGATCCCTGCATGGCAATTCAGGTCTTTGACCACTGGAGGGAGCCCCGCTCGGCTGTCCCCAGCACAGGGTGGTACTGGGATTTGAACTCAGGGCCTCACCCGCCTCCTTCCCCCCTGCAGATGGCGGATGCCATGGAGATGATGATCCTCAGCGTCCTGGCACCACAGCTGCACTGCGAGTGGCAGCTGCCCAGCTGGCAGGTGGCGCTGCTGACCTCGGTAAGGTGGCCCGGTGTGGCGGCGTCCACTTCTGGTCCTCTGGGTAGCCTTGAAGGATGTCCCTGGTCCCCTGGGCGGGACTTCCTGTAGTTGCTCCCTCCCCTAACTCCCATCTCCTGGCTGGTTCACGGCAGACAGACACTGCCCCATTCAGAGGTCCAGTATGGGGCCCCCAGACATCCACCGTGGACCCCTCCTACAGGGACCCTGCCCCTTCAGCTCGCTCCTCTCACCCAGGGGTGGGTTGAAGATTAAAGCCAAAGCCGGTACAGAGCTGGCACGTTGCAGGTGCTGAGAAATAGTACTCGGTGCTGCGGTCTGGACCGAGGGCCGAGTGGAGGACAGGGCCGAGCCCTCTGCTTTTGCTAGGGGATGGACTTTCTAAATGGGATGGGAGCCACCAGGCCAGAGTGAAGATCACTCCAAAGCAAATACTTAGTGAGCTCCTGCAAGGCCAAGGGCTTAAGCCACGTTGTAGAAACGGTATGCATTGCCTAGCCTACAGTGGGCCTGTGGAGGTGGGTCTCCCGCTAACTGAGAAAAATGAGGCACAGAGAGGTTGAGCCACTCCCTGATGGTCACACAGCCTGGCTGGCGGCAGAGACAGCAATTGTTAACTAGGGGAGAATGAAGGTATTATTATTATTGTTGCTGTTGATAACTGTTGGGAATACCTCGAGTGCCTTCTACAACAAAACACAGCCTAAGGTCAGCAATAAGGCCACTTGGGCTCAGTGACACAGCCACTGGAACTGTGACCTTGAGCCCAGGCTCCGGCTTACACCTGTAATCCAGAGGATTAAGGTTAGAAGTCCAGACAGGAAAAAGTCCAAGAGATGCCGTCTCCAAGTAGCCAGCAACCACCTCCAGAGCTAGAAGCCTTGGGCCAGCAAGCCAAGCTAGTTGGGAGGCCATGAATTCAATCCCTGGTACCACCCAAACCCAAGCCCCAAATCATAAATCCAGGGTCCACACCTGCCCCCCGCCCCCCGGCGGCGGCAAATATAGGTGCCTCCTCATTCCTGGGTGTGAGGTCATGGGGCAGGATGTGTGATGTCACCGGTGGGCAGCATGACGTCACATCTCTCTCTCTTTGCACCCCCAGGTGGTCTTCGTAGGCATGATGTCCAGCTCCACGCTCTGGGGTAACATCTCAGACCAGTACGGCAGGAAAACAGTAAGGCAACCTCCTCCCAAGGCGCATGCGCTCCGTGTCCCCCCCCCCCCCGCCAGGGCCCAAGGATGGGCATCTCAGGGTCAAGATGATGCTCCTGGGCCAGCTGGGGTCCCCTGGACATCCTCAGGCCTTCCTGGGGCACCTGAAGGGTGGCAGCGCAGCCAGATGGAGAGGCAGGGCCCCCGTGCGCCGCTGGCAGCTGTAAACGGTCTGCTATCTGCTGGCTTACCCCACCCCCACCTCGCCTAGCTGCCTTCCCACTCCATCGTGGGATCACTGCCAAGGCACCACCACTGTGGTGGTGAACACCTGTAAGACCAGCACTCAGAAGACACGGGCAGGAGGGTTGAGAGTTTGAGGCCAGCCTGTACCGAGAGACCCCGAATCAAAAAGTAGGAAAAGAGCTGGGCGCTGGTGGCTCACGCCTGTAATCCTAGCTACTCAGGAGGCTGAGATCTGAGGATCGCGGTTCAAAGCCAGCCCGGGCAGGAAAGGCCGTGAGACTCCTATCTCCAATAAACCACCAGAAAACCGGAAGTGGCGCTGTAGCTCAAGTGGTAGAGCGCTCGCTTTGAGCTGAAGAGCTGAGGGACAGCACCCAGGCCCAGAGTTCAAGCCCCACGACCGACAAAAAAAAAAGTAGGAAAAGAGCCTGGTGCACATGCGCCAGGGCTAGAATCTTAGCTATTTAAGAGGCTGAGATCTGAAGATGGAGATTCAAAAACCTTCCCAGGAAGTCACGTCCGAGACACTCTATCTCCAATTAATCAGCAAAAAGCTGGAAGTGGAAATGTAGCTCAAGTGGTAGAGCACCAGCCTTGAGTGGAAAAGCCAAGAGAGTGTGAGGCTCTGAGTTCAAGCACAGTACTGGCTCAAAAAAAAAAAATTAAGAAAAGAAAAGAGCCTGGTGCTCGTGGCTCACATTGGTAATCCTAGCTACTCCGGAGGCTGAGATAGGAGGATTGTGGTTCAAAGCCAGCCTGGGCAAGAAAGTCTGTGAGGCTCTTTATCTCCATTTAACCACCAGAAAACTGGAAGTTGATCTGTGGCTCAAAGACAGCATCCAGGTCCTGGGTTCAAGTCCCACAATGAACAAAAAACATAAAGAAATAAAAAGAGAGAGAGAGGGAGGAAGGTATTCTTGACCGTGAAGCAGTAAGAACACATCTGTTCTTTTTGGGCCTCAGTTTCCTTATTGATACCAGAGGAGGTTAGAATAGCTACCATTAACTACATTTCCCAGACTAAAGGGCCCCGGAGGCTTCTGTGCCTCTTCTAATCAGTAATTTGGTCAGTTTTTACCCTCAGGGACACAGACAACTTTAGGAAGTGGGAGGAGGTCTTGTTTTAGCTTCTGGTTTCACAGGGTTCAGGACCCAGTCCTGGCTCTGTCCTAAGGATGGGGTAGGGAATAGGAGGAGGAGAAGGGGGGAGGAGGAAGGGGGAGGAGAGGGAGGAGTAGGAGGAGAAAGAAGGGAAGAAGGAACAAAAAGAAGGAGGGAGGAGGGAGCGGGGGAGAGGAGGAGGAGGAGATAGGAAGAGGGAGGAGGGAGCGGGGAGAGGGGAGGAGGGGACAGGAAGAGGGAGGAGGGAGCAGGGAGAGGGGGAGGACGGTGGAGGAGACTAATCCCCCTGCTGTTAGGAAGCTAACTGAAGGAACAGGGGTGAGGGATGAGTTTGACAAGCCTTGACACACATACCCGCTCCCAGTGACTCCCTCCAGCTAGATCTCTCTCACTAAAGTTTCCAGAACCTCCCAGAATAGCGCCACCAGCTATGGAACAACATAGAAGTCTTTTAAAGGGGATACAACATTTCTAAATTGTCACAAAAAGTAGAAACGTGGATTTGAAGAGCCAGAAAAAACCTCTTGGAATGGTGCTGTGATGGATTAGTGATGTCTGCCCTGGGCACGGGGTCTACAATGTGGAATGATTGCTACACACTGAAGAAAGAGGCCAAACCTGTCTTGTTCTCTAAAATGGTTGGGCCTGATGCAGTACCTGGTTCATCACAGATCCATAATAAAGACTTCCAGGCTGCTATTTCCTGTATGTTCCCAGTTTACTTATAGCCAAGGGCCCTGACTGTCCTAGGAAGAGTATTCTGCCATCCAGGGTGGTCTCTCCTCTCTCTGTGCCCAGGAGAACGTAAAGAAGAGCAATGGAAGCTTGCATTTTAAAAAGGTGTGTGTGTCCCGGGGCTTGAACTCAGGGCCTGGGTGCTGTCTCTGAGCTTCTTTTTGCTCAAGGCTAGCACTCTACCACTTTGAGCCACAGCTCCACTTTTGGTTTTCTGGTGGTTCATTGGAGATAAGAGTCTCACAGACTTTCCTGCCTGGGCTGGCTTCGATCTGTGATCCTCAGATCTCAGCTTCCTGAGTAGCTAGAATGACAGGCGTGAGCTTCCAGTGCCCAGTTGTAGTGGGGTTTTTGGTAAAGACATAACTCCTGTGGAATATGGCTGCATTTACATCTTCTAGAAGAGTGAGGAAGGGGATGTGTCTAGACACATTTTGGGCTGTGACAGCTAGGAAAAAGGGCCCCTCCTTGGTAGAAACTGAGGATGCAGAATATACCTCCCAGACGGAGAAGGAAGGACCCAAACCAAGCCATCACTGGCAAGATCGACAAAGGGTGAAAAATACTCTGAGAAGCCAAACTGCAGTATTTCAGAGCGCTCATCCCACAGTCCTCCATCTCCGGGGACTGCCCAGCCCGCCTTGGCTTCCTTCCTACAAGTCACTCGTATCGGCCAGAGAGGCTGCTCCGTCTTTGCCAGGAGACGGCCTGGGCTCTGAGGAAGGCCAGTTCCAATCCCAGCTTCTCCCTCGCAGGCCTCGCCCCGGTGTCTCAGCGTGTTCATCCCAAAGTGGGAGGAAGCAGCCTCTCCAGGGGCTATGCTTAAGGGGAAACAGCTTTGCCCAGAAAGTTCTTGTCACTGAGAAAGAGTTCTGTTGTTATTCCCAGCACTGGCCAAGCCTGTGGGGAACCCACCGAGGTAGTATTAAGTAAGGTAAAGATCCACGGGCCTCTGCCTCCACAGCTGCGTGTGACCTTCACTGTGACCTTGGAGGTAGAAGTGAATTCTCCCACAGAATGCAGCTGATTGGTTGGGATGTCCATCCATCTCCAATAGGGAGGGCTTCCGCGGGCCACCATTAGAAAGCGGCTAGAGCCTAGTGCCAGTCTGGTGCCAGCTGTTTGCCAGACCCTACAGGAGGGTCAGGTGGTGCAGGGCCCTGGAGGAACCTGTGACTGGGCTCTCCCTTCCTGCAGGGGCTGAAGATCAGCGTCCTCTGGACCCTCTACTATGGTGTCCTCAGTGCATTTGCACCCGTGTACAGCTGGATCCTGGTGCTCCGAGGCCTGGTGGGCTTTGGGATCGGAGGAGTCCCCCAGTCGTAAGTAAATGCCCCACCCCCACCCTCCAGCCAGGTACACATGCAGGCAGGCAACTGGTCAACCTTCTCTATGCACAGGTTCAAAAGCCAACACAGACCAAGCCAGGTGCTGGTGCTCACACCTGTCATCCTAGCTACTCAAGAGGCTGAGATAGGAGGATTGTGCCACAAAGCCAGACCAAGCAGGAAAGTCCATGAGACTCTTATTTCCGATGAAGCACCGAAAAAGCCAGAAGTGGTGCTGTGGCTCAAAGTGGTAAACTGCTAGCCTTGAGCCAAATTGCTCAGGGACAATGCCCAGGGGATGAGTTCAAGCCTCATGACTGACCAAAAAAGAGAGAGAAGGAAGGAAGGAAGGAAGGAAGGAAGGAAAGGAAAGGAAAGGAAAGGAAAGGAAAGGAAAGGAAAGGAAAGGAAAGGAAAGGAAAGCTGGGTGATGGTGGCTCACGCCTGTCATCCCTGAGATCTGAGGATCCAGGTTCAAAGCCAGCCTGGGCAGGAAAGTCCATGAGACTCTTATCTCAGAAACCTGGAAGTAACGCTGTGGCTCAAGTGGTAGAGTGCCCACCTTGAGCTGAAGAGCTCAGGGACAGCGCCCAGGCCCAGAGTTCAAGCCCCATGACCAACAAAAAAAAAGAAAAAAAGAAAAAAGAAAGAACAGGAGGGTGCGTGCAGACTGCACAAATGCTGTAGTTTTATGAAAGGGACCTGAGTGTCCTTTGGGTTTTCTGCAGAATGTCCCATAGTTACCAGGAGATGCTCTCATTCCTCACGGCTTTGGCGACTCAGGGGAGGCTCTGTGGGGCTGCATTAGAAGCTACAGTGAACTATGAGAGCAAGGTTGACATCTCTAACATAACCATAACACACAGGTCATAACAGTAACCACTTGAGCCACAGCATCCCTTCTGGCTTTTTACTGGTTAATTGGAGCTAAGTCTCACATACTTTGCTGCCCAGGCTGGCTTTGGACCTCAATCCCCAGACCTCAGTCTCCTGAGTAGCTAGGGTTACAGGTGTGAGCAGTGGCGATCCAGTTAAGCTACGATTTGAGTCTCCACACCCTGTCCCTTCATGACTCCATGACCCAGCTCAAACAAAACCCAGGGCAAACAAAAACTGCATGCAAAATTACAGAAGAAATACTTAGCCACCCCAGAGACTGCCCGCTCTTTAGCACTTTACATAAAAACAATTATGTCTTAATTAGACAACGTTCTTATTAGTTATAAAAATGACTCCCTAATGTTCATTATTGGGAGGCACTTAGTTGGAGATATTTTATGCAATTAAATGCAATTAACCATTCTCATTCATTTAGAATAGCTTTACCCAATCATGGCTGCTCCCCACACCATCTGAATAAGATTGTTCTGTGTAGCTTAAAAAAAAAAAACAACTCAGTAATATCTGGAAGTCTTTGTGAGTGTATTAGTCTGTTTTCCCTTGCTAATGAAGGTTGATTTATTTTTTAATTTTTATTTTTGCTGGTCTTGGGGTTTGAATTCGGGGCCTGGGGGCTTTCCCTGAGCTGTTTTGCTCAATGTTAGCATTCTACCACTTGAGCCGTAGCTCCATTTCTGGCTCTGTGTGTGTGTGTGTGTGTGTGTGTGTGTGTGTGTGTGTGTGTGTGTGTGTGTGTTTAATTGAGATGGAGTCTTAGGAGCTTTTCTTTTTTTCCCTGTGCTAGTCTCAAACATTGATCCTCTGATCTCTGCCTCCCAAGTAGTTAATCACAGGCTGGGGTCCAAGCACCTAGCTTCTCTTCTTCTTTTTCTGCATCTACCAGGGTTCCAACATGGGAGGCTCTCACTGGGGGAGTTAGATAATAACTCCAACCACCTCCCCAAAGCTCTCACTTCTAGACACAGTACTGGATTAAATTTCCACCCTCTAAAGACTTTGCTGTGAGTTGAAAGATCTTCGGGGACACACCTGAACCTTATATAAAAGTTGCTGTGATTTGGGCATCAGTAAATACAAATCACGGGGCTGGGCAGGTGGCTTAGTGATAGAGTACTTGCCTAGCATGCACAAAGCCCTGGGTTCGATTCCTCAGTACCACATAAATAGAAAAAGCTGGAAGTGGTGCTGTGGCTCAAGTGATAGAGTGCTAGCCTTGAGCAAAAGAAGCTGAGGGACAGCGCCCAGGCCCTGAGTTCAAGCCCCAGGACTGGCTAAATAAATAAAGAAATACAAATCATATTAGTGATGGGAAGCCAATTCCTCTGCTCGTGTCCCTCCTCCCCTTGCTCTGTATGTTCCTTCCTGTCTTTCCCCTAGAGTTAAGGAATCCACAGTGGTGATAAAAAAAACAAGTATAGGGCTGGGAAGGTGGCTCAGTGGTAGAGCACTTGCCTTGCATGCCTGAAGCCCTGGGTTTGATTCCTCAGCACCACATAAGCAAAAAGAAAAAAGCCGGAAGTGGCGCTGTGGCTCAAGTGGTAGAGCGCTAGCCTTGAGCTGAAGAGCTGAGGGACAGCGCCCAGGCCCAGAGTTCAGGCCCCACAACTGGACCCAAAAAAAAAAAACAAGTATAACATTTACTAATGACAGTGCCCACTGTAACCCGGCGATTCCCATGGATCAATGCTTAAGGTCAGACAGCCACAGGGTGAAGTGCCGGGTCAGTTTTTTGCCTTGTGATAAACTGTCACAACCATCATGGATGAAGACAATGATTTCTTTAGCTCCCAAGTTCAGCAACTGGGGAACTGAGCAGTCTTTCCTAAATCTTCCATCAACCCATGGGTGAGATCAGGGCTGGTGAGTCCAGCAAGGCCATGTCCTATTTGTCTCTGCCCTGTAGGCCTCTCAGTGGACAGCTAGGATCTGAGACAGCAAAGCCTTCTGCCATCTAATCTTTTTTATAGTTTTTTTTTTGTCGGTCGTGGGGCTTGAACACTGGGCCTGGGCGCTGTCCCTCAGCTCTTCAACTCAAGGCGAGCGCTCTACCATTTGAGCTACAGCGCCACTTCTGCCATCTAATCTTGCAACTAGTAAAAGCTTCTGCTCACAGCTAGATTTGACGGGACAGATAGCATATTCCTTCCAGCAGAGGGCGCCATGTGCAGCAGCAGAGCCGCTGACAAGGTTTCCCTATCTGAGTGCTAGCTGGTCGGGATGCTAAGTACCCACCCAGCCCTGGGTGTGTGTGGCTCAGTAGGTAGAGTGCTCACTTAGCAGGCCTAAAGGCCTGGATTTCATCCTCAGCATCTAAGTAAGTAAAGAAATTAATGAAAAAAAGAAATAAAGCATAAGAAAGCAAAAGAAGGAGGTGGAGGAGGAGGAGGAGGAGTTAACACCCTAAGCCTGGTGCCTAGCTACTCAGGGAGGCTGAGATCTGAGGATTGTGGTTCAAAGCCAGCCCAGGCAGGAAAGACTCTTATCTCCAATAAACCAACAGAAAACCGGAAGTGGTGCTGTGGCTCAAGTGGTAGAGTTCTTGCTTTGAGCTGAAGAGCTGAGGGACAGCACCCAAGCCCAGAGTTCAAGCCCCATGACCCCCCCCCACCAAAAAATAAAATAAAATAAAAAAGAAAGAAATTAATACCCTACGTAGCTTTCCACCAAAACCTTGATTTTTCCCACCCATGGCTTGTGTTCTACTATTGAAACCATACCTACACTTGGAAGGCTTGCCTTTGAGACCTGCCTCTGATTGGCTCAGAAACCCATGTTTGTTTGTTTGTTTTGTCCAAGACCTGGACTGGAACTCAGTGTCTGATGCTTGTTTTCACTCATTAGCTGGTGCTCTACTACTTGAGCTACACCTTCAACCCCCCTAGACCCATGTTTACTCCACTCTTTCCTCCAAAGAAATGACAAATGAAAGTCATGGGTCATTTCTTCTTTCCAAGCACATGAATGAAATGCAACTCTGCAATTGCCCTGTGCTGTAAAAATGTGCTTATTTGCCAGGCGATTTATTTATTCCGGAATCAGCTGCTTCTTGGCATGGCTAATTTCATTATTGCTCATTCCTTTATCCATCCGCCTGATTGTTAATAATTGCCATTCCTTTGGGTGGAAATCCAGCAGCTTGTTTTCATAATGAGTAGCTGAAAATAACAGCCGAGAATGTGGGCCCAACAATGGCAGGGAAAGGTTTTGCGGGTGTGGCCTAGATGCCAAAAGGAAGACATTGAAAAATAATCTACGGGGTCCAGTAAGTAGGGTGGTGCACACTCGTTTAATCCTGGCTAGGTGGGAAGTGGAGGTAGGTGGATCGCTGTTCTAGGCAGGCCCAAAACAAAAAGAAAGATACTATCTGAAAAATAAAGCTAAACAGAAAGGGCCCAGAGTATAGCCAAATGGTAGAGTCTGAGTCCTGAAATTCAGACCCCCTGTTAGAATATTTTAGGCTTTGCCAGAAAAACCACACAGACATCCAGGTACAAAGAACAAAGAAAAGATTTATTGCGGGGAGAGGGGCTGGCAAGACCCCTTCTCACAGGGAGAAGTGAGAAGAAGCGCCAGCTATTGTCTGGGGTGACCTATATTACCTAGGAGGTCTAGGAGGGGCTAGAAGGGGCTAGAAGGCAGACACCCTGGTGTGGATCTGAGGGCCAGGGGCTTCATCATGGCGGACTAGATTTGTGGCTGCTGTCCCGACCAGAAGGTCACTTTAAGGGGCTCTTGTTGCCCTCCCAAGGTAGAGGGGGTTGGAGGCTGATTATTTACTGGCTGATTATTTACTGCTTTTACTACATGAGCCTAGTGTTACCTTGGAAAGGCACATGCTCAGCTGTGGAGAAGGGAAGGAGCATACTAAGCTACGGGAAGGGAGCTCATTGGCCTAACACCCTCTACGGCCGGAAGTAAAAAGCAAAACCTAATTAGGAAGACCGTTCGGCTATTAAAAGAATGCCGTCATGGAGCTGGGAAGGTGGCTCAGTGGTAGAGTGCTCGCCTTGCATGCATGAAGCACTGGGTTCGATTCCTCAGTACCACATAAACAGAAAAAAAACAGAACTGGCACTACGGCTCAACTGGTAGGGTACTAGCCTTGAGCAAAAAGAAGCTCAGGGATAGTGCCCAGGCCCTGAGTTCAAGTCCCAGGGCTGGCAAAAAAAAGAAAAAAGAATGAAGTCAGGGAGACCCAGCATGGTGGCTGACCTCTATAATCCCAGCTCCTCTGGAGATGGACTTAGAAGGCGGTCCTGGGGTTGTGGCTTAGTAACTGCTGACAGCTGTGGCTCTGGGGGGGGGCGCTAGCGGAAGCCATGGGGTGGAGAGAAGATCACTTAGGCCTCCCTCAATTGCTTGGCAGTTACTATGCACTCTGGTCCATACTTCCTAACCAAAATAAGAGGCAATAAAGTGGGAACACACACAAATACTTCCTGGGTTATACAAAACAAAAAAACAAATCCTTGACCTCTGAGGATGGGAATAACTTTGTCCGTAGAATGTATTAGGGACATTTTTTTTTTTGCATCATCGTGAGTAGTTGGACTTTGTTTTGTTGGGCGAAAGGCAATGTGCCTCACATTTTAATATGATTAATTTTAAAAATAATATAAGCACGACATTTGCAAAATGGAATAAGATGTCAAAGAAGCCAGGCATGGTAAGTATTAAAAATCTCTTCAATTTGCCTCTGCATCTTGGTGTCTAGATAGAGAGATTGCTCGTGGTATGGGAAGAGAGGTATCAGAAGGAGTGGAAATCGGAGCAATTTCTTGTCTAGTCTATATCAAAAGCCTTAAAAATACAGCGCAGCCTCTGACTCACTCTCTATTTAGAGAACCCTCCTCAGGAAATTGTGTGCACACAAAAGGTTGAGCTTAAAGATTTGTTTGTTTGTTTGTTTATAGCTGCAACATATCCAAATAAGGAAGCATCTGAGGGTTGCTTCTATGTCTGTAACTTATTAGACTTACAGTCCTGGACAAGAGCAGCTTTTCTGACATAGATGCAGATATGAAGGTGAAGCTGGAAGATACACAGACACATAGACACTCAGACACACAGACACATACAGTGGAAGTTATAATCACCTGCCTCATTCCCTGTAAATGCTACCAAACGATGTGAAACTCCCTGGCACACAGTAGGTCTGCAAATCAAACATGTAATTGTCATTAGGTTGACTAATGGTATGAAGTAGGGGTAAAGGTAGGTCCATGGTAGAAGAATTTTTTGGTTTTGTTTTTGTTTTGCTAGTTCTAGGTCTTGAATTTGGGGCATAGTCCCGGAGTTCCTATTGCTCAAGGCTAGCACTCTGCCACTTGAGCTACAATGCAACTTGCAGCATTTTTTAGTGGCCAATTGGAAATAAGAGTCTCATGGACTTTCCTGCCTGGGCTGGCTTCCATCCATCATTCTGAGATCTGGGTTTCCGGAGAAGCTAGGATTACAATCATGACTTACTGGTTCCCAACTTCTCAAAGTTATTCTTGACATTTTATTATGTACTTATATATATATATATATATATATATATATATATATATGTATGTATGTATTTACTGCCAGGTGCTGGTGGCTCACGCCTGTAATCCTAGCTACTCAGGAGGCTGACATCTGAGGATCACAGTTCAAAACCAGCCTGGGCAGGAAAAGTCTATGAGACTCTTACCTCCAATGAATCACTGGAAAACCAGACATGGAGCTGTGGCTCACAGAGTGCTAGCCTTGAGCAGCAAAGCTTAGGGGACAGCACCAATGTCTTTACTACTACTATTGCATACATTAGTTATACAGCCTGTCTATCTCCTTGTTTCATCTAGGGTGACACTGTATGCTGAATTTCTTCCCATGAAATCCAGAGCCAAGTGTATTTTGCTGATCGAGGTGAGGTGGCTGGGCTTCCAGAGATTGGAAATTCCCTGGGAGATGCTAGCCAAGAGTCCTGAGCTGAAAGATCAGCTGAAGAAAAATAGCCCTGGTGTGGGCGGGACCCTCGGGAGATGGGCAGCACCAGGGACCAACCAGGCCATCCATCATACAGGCTGTCGGAAAGGGTCAGCCACTCTGACTTTTGCCAACTCCAGTGGCTCCTTTCTCACCTGATTCCCTCATCCACGGTGACCACCCCCCAAATTGCTCACTGTGTGGGCCACGCTCCCCCAGCCTCTAACGCTGAGCCCTGTTCTCCTGCGCAGGTCTTTTGGGCCATCGGGACAGTGTTCGAGGTCGCCCTGGCTGTGTTCGTGATGCCCAGCCTGGGCTGGCGTTGGCTGCTGGTCCTCTCGGCCGTCCCGCTCCTCCTCTTTGCTGTTCTGTGCTTCGTGGGTATCCTTGGAGCCTCTCCTTCCTGGGCCTTCACTGTGCACTGTTTTGGTTGCAGGATGTAGAGCCTCCTCTTAAGATTATTTCTTTTAACCTGAAAATGACCCAAGGAATATTTGATTTCCCTTCAGATGGATGCTTTGGGAGAGAGAGCTGGAGATGGGGCAAACACTGACCCCCCTCATTGCAAGATAGATGTACGCTTAATGCGACTGTATTGGATTCATTAGGAGCCTTGAGTCCCAAGTGACAGAAACCTAATTCAAACCGGCTTGAGGAAAACAGAGGGATAGATACATGACAGACGATTCAGTAGTGGACTTCAGGCAGGAGCTCAAATGCTCTGTCTCTGCCTCACATAAACCACACCCCAGACATTCATCATTTCATGTGTAGAACGCATGCATGAAACACTTTACAGCGAGTGAAGCTCCAAATAAGCCTATAAATGGATGGTTCTCACGTCTGAAAAATATTACAATAATTCCCAATGAGGACAATAGGCATTCATATTTACTGAGCTCAACAGTTCCACAGGCTCTGTGCATGTGTTCTGATGTTTATTCTTCCCATTGGCCACGGGGGGGGGGGGATATTAGGCCCCTGTATCAGGATGACAAAAGCTTTTTGTTTTGTTTTTGGTGTCAGGCCTAGGGCCTGAACTCAGGGGCTGAGCACTGTCCTTTCACTTTTTTGCTCAAGGCTGGAACTCTACTACTTGAGCCATGGCTCCTTTTCTGGTTTTTTGCTGTTTAATTGAAGATACTTGAGTCTTATACATTCTCTTGTCTGGGCTGGCTTCAAACCTCAGTCCTCAAATCTCAGTGTCCTAAACAGCTAGAATTATAGGTGTGATCCACCACAGCGCCCAGCAATACCAGTTCTTATAATAGATAAAGCCACAAACTCAATATTTTTGGTTTTGTTTTTTTTTTTTGTTTTTGTTTTTTGCAGGCCATGGGACCTGACTTCTGGGCCCGGGCACTGCCTCTCAGATCCTCAGCTCAAGGCTAGTGCTCTAACACTGTAGCCACAGTGCCACTTCTGGCTTTTTCTGCTTATGTGGTGCTGAGGATCGAACTCAGGGCCTCATGCATGCAAGGCAAACATTCTACCACTGAGCCACCTTCCCAGCTCCACAGACTTAGTATTTTAACAGAGAATTTTATTTCTTGCTGGCAGGGAAAGTGGGATTCTGTGTCCAGGTTTTCTTTCCAGCTTATGACTGCTATCCTCTGGACCCTTGGAGTTTTCTATGTGCAGATTACTGCCTGGGAAAGGAAAATGGAGATTATATACGCCTGCCTGCTTCCATGCCATTGGTGGCAGCAAGTCACATGGCCCCACCTAGCTGCAAGGGAAGCTGGGAAATCTAGCTAGGTGCCCCCTAGTCAAGGGCAGTTCTGTACTTCGGTGAGGGAAGCATGAACTTTGATGGGCATTAGCCGTATCTGCCACATCCTTGTGTCATTGAGGAAGAAACAGGCCAGGGAGGTGACACACCTGTCAAAGGGTATGAAGGAAAAGAAACAACAACAACAAAAACCAAGAACACAAGCTGGGCGCCCGTGGCTCACGCCTGTAATCCTAGCTACTCAGGAGGCTGAGATCTGAGGATCGCCGTTCAAAGCCAGCCCGGACAGGAGAGACCGTGAGACTCCTATCTCCAATAAACCACTAGAAAACTGGAAGTGGCACTGTAGCTCAAGCGGTAGAGCGCTCGCCTTGAGCTGAAGAGCTGAGGGACAGCACCCAGGCCCAGAGTTCAAGCCCCATGACTGACAAAAAACAAAAAAACAAAAACAAGAACACACACACACACCCCTCTTAATTTGAACCAGATTTTCTGATCCCAGGCCCATGCTTTTCTCAACTACTCCCGGCTACCTATTTCATAGCTCAATATGGCTTTATTTGGAAGAAGTGGTCCCCTGGGGTTGGGACTCCCATTTAGGCTTAAAGGTTAGGAAAAGAGGCAGAGCCCAGGTTAGGGAGCGTTTCTCTTGGGTGAGATTTGGGGGGGGAGGGGGCTGGAGTGGAGAGTGGTTCTTTTAATTCAATCCTTACCTGCATCTCTGAAAGCAGCATTGAATAATCTGACAACAGCCATGACCATAACAATCGCCACACAATCCTCCCCACAAGCCTATGAGGTTAGGAAGGAAGGAAGAAATGATGGAGGCAGAGAGATCAAGTCACTGACCCCAGGTCAGGAATCCATAGAATACAATGGAAAAGACAGCATTTGCCCCCAGGTGCCTGGAGTCTGCTCTTAGAGACCTCTCATAGATCAGCGTGTTTGGTGGCACCCTGAGCAGCCACACCGGTGTCTCCTGTCCTCCTCAGTGGCTGCCGGAGAGTGCGCGGTACGATGTGCTGTCTGGAAACCAAGAAAAGGCCATTGCCACCTTGAAGAGGATAGCAACGGAAAATGGAGCGCCCATGCCACTGGGGAAGCTCGTCATCTCCAGGCAGGTCAGTGTCTCACCCACCGATGCGGGGGCCATGTGTCCATGCATGCACACAGCCGAGGTGCGACTATTCACACACATGCGGGGGGGGGAGGGGGAGGTGCACGTGTGGGCAATTTGCATGAGTGCTGGGTGTGCATCTGTATGAGCCAGAAGTGGGTGGGGTGCGGTAGGCTGGACCTGCCGAGGGGAATTGGGCAAACTCCGATTTCTATTTCCACCGTCGACTTCCGAAAATGCTACCAGGAGAATTTAGCCAGTGAGAGAGAAATGTGGTGTCCACAAATGAGTCCTGTACCTGCATCGGCTCCTGTGTTTACCTTGTAGTGCTGATCACGTCTAGCCAATGTGATGGATGGATGAATACTGCACAACAGAACCACATTAGAAAGTGAAATGTGCCCTCCCCCCCCCCCCCCCGCCCCATATGGTAGCACATGCCTGTCATTCCAGTCCTTGGAAAGGCAGAGGCAGGAAGATCAGGAGTTGGAGGCCAGCATGAGTTAAATGCCTGTCTAAAAAATAAAAAAAGCAGGAAAAAGACCAGGCAGACACAAGCTTGGGATTCTAGCAACTCCAGAGGTAGGAATTTGGAGGATCGAGGTCTGAGGCTAGCCTGAGGGAAAGTTCATGAGTCTATACTTGCTGTAATAATCCCAGCTGAGTGGAGGTACAGATAGGAGGATTGTAGAGGTAGAATGATCGAGGTTTGAGGCCGATCCCAGGCAAAGATGATGAGACCCTATCCAAAGAAATAAACAAATAAAGAATCAAAGTTCTTAGCCGGGCGCTGGTGGCTCACGCCTGTAATCCTAGCTACTCAGGAGGCTGAGATCTGAGGATCGCGGTTCAAAGCCAGCCCGGGCAGGAGAGACTGTGAGACTCTTATCTCCATTAACCCCCCGGAAACTGGAAGTGGCGCTGTAGCTCAAGTGGTAGAGTGCTCGCCTTGAGCTGGAGAGTTGAGGGACAGCGCCCAGGCCCAGAGTTCAAGCCCCACTACCAACAACAACAAAAAAGAAACAAAGTTCTGGGTGGGGCTTAAATACTACACTGTCCAGCATGTACAGGCCCTCCTTCCCTGAAAAAAAAAAAAAAAAAACTTCACAGAAAATGAAAAGGTATTTTTCTTGGTGACTAAAGTAGACTTAACCACCTATAATCTTTCCCCCCACTTTTAGCATATCTAAATAGCAAACATTTCTGTATATCTGAGAAGACTATCATCACGGTTATAGCACATGTGTTTCTGTGGAACATGATAAAGCTAAGGTTTGAAAAAGTTCTTTAGTACTGACAGGTTGTTAGCAATTATATAAAACTTGCAAATGAGTGAGTCGCTAATCAATCTTTTGGCAAATGACTGGTAATAGGTTGTCTTTGTGGCATGTTGATTGCTGACTTTGACTTAGAATTGGCTCTGTGTGTGTGTGTGTGTGTGTGTGTGTGTGTGTGTGTGTGTGTGTGTCCCTCCATGGGTCTGATCCCAAACTCCAGGCTCAGGGAAGCAAGGCTCCTGGACCTTTGGTGGATCTCAGCTGCGCAGGCTTCATGGCTGAACAGTATGGATTTGAGTCTTGGCTTCTTGTTCCTGGAGATGGGTAGGCACCGGCGTTAGGCCACCGGTGTGTACCCACACATCCTGGAGGAGAGAATTGATAGCACACTTTTGTCTTGAGACAGGAAGACCGAGGCAAAATGAGGGACCTTTTCACGCCACATTTCAGATGGACAACCTTGCTGTTGTGGTTCATATGGTAAGATGGGCTTCTAACCCATGCGGCTCCCCCCCTGCCCCCCTCCCCCTCTGGCCCACTGCTGCCTTCCAAAATGCTATTTCTGGCTTCTTGCTAGTTAACTGGAAATAAGAGTCTCATGGATTTTCCTGCCTCAATTGGCTTTGAATCTCTAACCTCAGAACTCAGCCTCCTGAGTAGCTAGAATTACAGGCACGAATCACAGGTACCTGGCTTAGATCTATATCTTTTATTTATTTGTTTGTTTATTTTTCTATCAGTTCGTCCTGAAACCTGAACTCTGGGCCTGGGCGCTGTCCCTTAGGTCTTCAGCTCAAGGCTAGCGCTCTACCACTTGAGCCACAGCACTACTTCTGGCTTTTTCTGCTTATGTGGTGCTGAGGAATCGAACCCAGGGCCTCAAGCATGCAAGGCAAACACTCTACCACTGAGCCACCTTCCCAGCCCTGATCTGTATCTTTTAAAAGAAAAACTTTGATCTTTGCTTTAAAGGAAAACATTAATTGCAGGCCACAGATAAGAGAGCTTCCAGTGGAGCAGGGTGCCCATGGCTCACATCTGCAATCCTAGCTACTCAGGAGGCTGAGACCTGAAGATCACAGTCCCAAGCCAGCCCAGGCAAGAAAGTCTGTGAGACTCTTATCTCCAAATTAACTACCAAGAAGCTGGAAATGTTGCTGTGGTGCAAGTAGTAGAGTATTAGCGCAAAACCTCAGAAACAACAACCAGACCCTGAATTCAAGCCCCAGGACTACCGTCCCCCAAAATAAAATAAGATCTTCCAGTAAAAAGTAGGCACACTAAAGCTGGGTGCCAGTAGCTCACACCTGTAAGGAGCTACTAAGGAGGCTGGGATCTGAGAATCATGGTTCAAAGCCAGCGTGAGCAGGAAAGTCTGTGAGACTCTAATCTCCAATTACCACCAGAGAACTGGAAACGGTGCTGTAACTCAAGTGGTAGAGCACTAGCCTTGAGCTGAAGAGCTGAGGGACAGCATCTGGGCCCAGAGTTCAAGCCCCACAACTGACCATAAAAATAAAATGAGTAGCCACACTAACAGTTTGTCAAGACAATGAGCCTCTGTATTTAAGCGACTGAGGGAGAGGAAGAGGTTACAGATTCAATAGCAGGAAACTGATACTAGGTTAAAATCAAAACAAGTGAAAGGAAACTTGAAAGGGATTTCTTTCCCACAATAAGGTTTAGTATTTGTGCTATTTCTTTTGTCACCTTGGGTCCTACCCATAGTTTAAAGACCCACCTGGAGCACCTGGCCATTCTTGGAACTTCCATTCAGCTATTGTTCCATAGGGGAGGATTGGGGGAGGGGCGGTGTTTGCAGGGAGCAATTACCTTCCTCTTTACAACAAATCAAATCCCAGCCATTCTCCCAACTCTCTTTCTATGAAATAGGCCTGGGGAGCATCTACAGTGTAAGGAAATCAGCCTGGCTTTAAGGGTTTTGTGTTCTTTTTTTAACTTAGTCTCAATGTTCCTATTCACCTTTGAGCAGAGGGTGCTAATTAATAGGGAGTAGCCCTAGGGGGTCAATTATAGAGAAGAAGTAAGAACTGCTTTGATAATGCAAAGAACCCAGCTCCAGCTCTACCCTGCAGTTCCTAGGAGCTGAAGCAACCTCACCAGTGCTTGTTTTTTTTTGTTTGTTTTTGTTTTTTTTACAGCAGCTGAGAGCCCAGTACAGAGGTGGAAACTGCTGTTTTGTTTTGTTTTGTTTTTCTTTTTCCAGTCATGGGGCTTGAACTCTGGGCCTGGGCGCTGTCCCTCAGCTCTTCAGCTCAAGGCTAGTGCTCTACCACTTGAGCCACAGCGCCGGTGGTTCAGTGGAGATAAGAGTCTCATGGACTTTGCTGCCCAGGCTGGCTTTGCACCCGTGATCCTCAGATCTCAGCCTCCTGAGTAGCTAGAATTACAGGCATGAGCTACCAGTGCCCAGCTAAACTGCTGGAGTTTTAAGAAGGGACAGAGTTAAGAAGGCCTACCTTTGAGAGTAATAATTCACTTGGGCCAATACTACTGAAGTCTTGAATTTTTTGGTGCATTGAAATTACTAGGCCAGATGACAGTGGCTCAAGCTTGTAATTCTAGCTCCTCAGAAGTCTGGGTTCCAAGGATTGTGGTTTGAAGCCAGCCCAGGCAGAAAAGTCTGTGAAACTCTTATCTCCAATTAACTACTCAAAACCAGGTAGTGGTGCTATGGCTCAAGTGGTAGAGCGCTAGCCTTGAGCACAAAGAGGCTCAGAAACAGTACCTGGCCCCAAGTTCAAGCCCTATGACCAACAAAAACAAATAATAATTACTAGATTTGCTGGCACAAATCGTAACAACCCCAAGAAAATGGGACCTTAGTGGTAGAGTGCTTGCTTTGCATTCATGAAGCCCTGGGTTCAATTCCTCAGTACCACATAAACAGAAAAAGCCAGAAGTGGTGCTGTGGCTCAAGTGGTAGAGTGGCTAGTCTTGAGCAGAAGAAGCTCGGGCAGTGCCCAGGCCCTGAGTTCAAGCTCCAAGACTGGCAAACAAACAAACAAAAAACCCAAAACAAGAAATGAGCAAGGTGTCATTGCACTCAGAAACTCTACACTCGTGTCCAAGTTCACCAGGTTGATCCAGAAGCTGTGACAGATATCATTGAGTCTGTTAGCTTCCAAAATTTTTGTCCCCAGAGAAACAAATGTTCGTGTGCTTCCCCATTTCTGTCTCTCAGCCCAGTTTTTCTTTCTTTACTGGGGCTTGAACTCAAAGTTTATGTCCTCATGGCTTGTTCATTCGAGGCTGGTGCTCTACCAACTTGAGCCACACCTCCATTTCCAGCTTTTTTTTTTTGCTGATAAATTGAAGAGTCTCTCAGATTCTATCACTGGTAGCTCGTGCTGAGAAGGCTGAGATTTGAGGATGGAGGTTCTGGGCCAGCCTGGGCAGGAGAGTCCTGGTGAGATTATCTCCAACTACCAGAAAACTGGAAATGGAGCTATGGCTCAAAGTGGTAGAGCTAGAGCTCTGGCCTTGAGAAAAAAAAAAAAAAAGAGTTCAGGGTCAGTGCCCAGGCCTTGAGTTCAAGCCTCACAAACAACCAAAAAAAAAAAAGTCTCTCTGATTTGTTTGCCTGGGCTGGCTTCAAACTGGAATCCTCAGATCCCAGCCTCCTGAGTAGCTAGAATTCCAGGCATGAGCCACTGGTGCCTGGCGCCAATGTTTTCCCTGTTAGGGAAACAGCCTTGAGAAAGGGGTGTGTGGAATAGACCATAGATTCTGGTCCTCCTAAGGCACAGGAGCACTCCCCCTCCTCACACCATGATTCTGGGTGCCTGCCAACTTCCTGCTCAAGACCTCCAGCCAAGCCCTAGAGACCCAGCGTGGTCCAAAGACTGGTCCCCAGTGGGCCAGGCGCTGGGAAGGGGGCAGAGGGGGGGCGTTCAGGGGAGGGGATGCGGCTCTGGTGTGGCTTTCTCTCCTCATCCCTTCATTGATCTTATTTGTTCCCGACAGGTTTTCCAATGCGTTTTCTTATTACGGGTTAGTGCTGCTCACCACGGAGCTCTTCCAGGCTGGGGACGTCTGCGGCAGTGAGTACCTCCCCACCCTGCGCTGGCGTGTGCTCTCCGGGGCCCAGATCCACGGCTTCCAGGACACGGGCTGACCTTGTCATGGGGCCTGTCACAGGAGAAGGGGTTAAGGGGCGGGAGTCCCACAGCTTCCCAATTTCTGTCTCTCGGCCCAGTTTTTCTTTCTTTCTTTCTTTTTTTGATGCTGGTACTGGGACTTGAACTTAGGGCCTGAGCACTGTCCTGAATCTTTTTTTTTTTCCTGTCACAACTCCACTTCTGGCTGTGTGTGTATGTGATTAATTAGAGATAAGAGTGCCATGAATTTCCATGCCCAGGTTGGCTTTGTACCATGATTTTCAGATCTCAGCCTCTTGAGTAACTAGGATTATAGGCGTGAGTCACCAACACACACTGTGTGTGTGTATACTAAATTTTCCTGTCACCTCATCTATCTGTCTGTCTTTCTGTCTGTCTATCCATCCATCCTGCCACAAGTGGACAGGTTTGTGCTAAGCAGAAGATCCAATGGGGTATAAGAAAGCCCTATTGGGGGCCAGATAGTAAATGTGCTCAGTGTTGCCCACACAATGCTGCTGTTTGAGACAGGAAGGCAATTTCAAAGCAAGCAGCAATAGTATGTGCTAGTTGTAGTAATGAAGGGAAATGTGCCATTCACTGTCTGCAGGTTTGCTCGAGTAAACTGATGAAGTAGGCGTGCTGGGCTCTGGTGGCTTATGACTGTAATCCGAGCTACTCAAGAGGCTGTGATTTGAAGATCATAGTGCAAAGCCAGCCTGGGCAGAAAAGTCCATGAGACTCTTATCTCTAATTATCCACCAAAAAACTGAAAGTGGAGATGTGACTCAAATGGTAGAGTGCCAGCCTTGAGCAGAAAAGCTGAGGGATCGTGTCTAGGCCCTGGGTTCAAGCCCCAGTATCAGCACCAAATAATAATAATAATGAGGAGGAAGAAGAGGAGGAGGAGGAAGAGGAGGAGGGGGAGGAGGAGGAGAATACACATCAGAGCTCTGCTGTCTGCTTCCAAGCCTGTCACACTTCCTGTCCTCTTTCTGGATCAGGTGCAGGGAGGAAGGGTGGGGTGCAGGCAGGTGGATGATTCCACACTGCACGCTCTTCTTCCTCCCTCTGGCTCCTCTCCTAGTTTCCAGCCGGAAGAAGGCAGTAGAAGCAAAGTGCAGCCTGGCCTGTGAGTACCTCACTGAAGAGGACTACATGGACCTGCTGTGGACCACGCTGTCCGAGTTCCCAGGTGAGGCCGGTGTCAGGTGAGGCCAGACATCCTCAGATCTCAGCCTCCTGAGGCGCTGGGGTGACAGATACATCCTTCTTGGAAGCTATCACGCCTTCTTAGTGTCATGCATGCTGGCAGAAGATTCCTGGGTTGGAGGCATGAGGACTACTCTAGCAAATGGTTATCTATTGTGGAGAGAATAGGACCTTGCTGTCAGTGTCTCCTTGCCCCCATTTCTACCTGGACAATGAAGAAGAAGCCTGGGTGGATGATGAACATGTGATAGTTTCACAACACAGCTTGAGTATATGAGTGCATTGATGAAATACCTGAGCCTGGATAGTATAGAAAGAAGAGACGTTCAGTGAGCTCACAGCAGCCCTGGAGGACTGCATGGTGGATGACATCACAAAGGATCACACACATGAGAGACAGGACAGCAGAGACACTAAGGAGGGCACCCACCATCTCCCCAGTAGCCCACCTTTGTATCCAGCTTCCCTAGGTAGAGATGGAGTCTCAAACCACAATCCTCCCAATCACAGCCTCCCACATTGCTAGGATGATGGGCAGGTGCCATGGTACCCAGCTATGTATTGAGCAGGGAACTCTCAAACTCTTCAACCTAGTTTGGCCTCAAACCACAATCCTCTTGTTCTCAGCCTCCCAAGTACTTGGATTTCAGGTGTGAGCCACTGGTGCCTGGCGTCCAGCACCTCGTAACTTCTGAAGAACAGTCCTTGGGGGACCCGCCCCCCTCAGAACTATATACAAATCAGCTTGGTGGACCCCAAACTTAGGAGCAGCAAACCTGTTGTAAACATTGCCATATATCTGCCCAATCTTTTTTTTTTTTTTTGGTCGGTGGTGGGGCTTGAACTCTGGGCCTGGGCGCTGTCTCTCAGTTCTTCAGCTCAAGGCGAGCGCTCTACCACTTGAGCTACAGCGCCACT